TGAATTTGTAATATATTATGAATTAATTTTTAATGAGTTAAAGTTTTATAAGTTACTTACTGCATTTGGAGGTTTTCCGTTTTCATTAAAAAATAAACTTACCTGTATTATATAAGTATATAGCTAGTATAGGTRTTGTATTTTATTTGAAATTTCAGTTTTTATTAAAAAAATCATAATTTCAAACTTTAAAACTACTTACAACTTCCACAGTATATAAGATTATATGTGTTTCGGATATAAAATCTGAACTTTTGATTTTATGTTTTACATCCTTAGAACATGGTATTTTGTGGTTTAAAACATAGAGTATAAATAATACAAGTTTTGCTACCTTTTTTATTGTATTGTATATWTTTTTTTAATTTGAATGTAACGAAAAGTTAGTAAATTTGTTATTGAATTTCAAGCTTTTACTGTACAAATCGTTTATTGRTACTTAAAATATTTAACATGATCCCTTTAATGGCTGAATAAATAGATAAATAGATGAATCATACTTCATACATCTACTTTAAAATTGAATAAATTATATCGTATTTACATAATWATATAAAAATTTTATATTTAGTTACACGTACCTACTCGTAAATATAATAATATATTTGTATTAATTTACTAAAAATAAATAGCTCATAATCTAATATTGTTTTATAACAATAACATGTTAAATATAAAAACTATATGCATTAATTTTTGTGCTGAGCAGTAAATTAATTTGGAAAACGTACATTCAAAGAAGATTCGACAAAATAATTAGGTATAATCTTTAAGTCGAGTTTTCACTACYAAGTCGTGTTTCATTTTTTTATATTAAAGCATGGTTTAAGACAAATCATTTAGTATTTAGTTATTTAGTAATTAATAATTATATATTCAGATTTTATAATAACACAATTGTATACTCAAATGTTTAATGAGAGAAATTACATTTCTTGTTGTGAGCCAGTTTTTTTTWAAATTAGTTGCTCTTAAAGAAGAACTAAGGTACATAGTATTTTCAAGGTACGATCATTTATTTTAATCATGAACGGTATTTATTTTTAAAAAACAAAGTTAAACTGTATGTGGAGCTAAACATGGTAGCTAATTTTATAATCAGTGTTTTACGGTCCATGTACTTGTCCAAAACATACTTTGCCAAAAAATCTTCAAATGCCGTTAGATATTTTTATACATTTGTAATTAAATTCGCAAATTTGCAAATCGATAATTTCCATTTGAAGAGAAGATTTTGGAAGTATGAACAATTTCGTAGCTACATCAATCCATTCTCCAGTTTGAGGATTATCATAATTTCGACAGTTTCCCAATTTCCGAAAAATCTTTAGAACTTTTACCAAATTCTCAGCCAACGTCCGTTAAAAAACTTTTAAAAGATGCTATAGATTATAACAGAATTCTTTTTATATTCAAGGGTTGTTTGAAAATAAATAAAAGCTTGAATTTTAATATCTGCTTAAAATATTTCAAGTTTTTTTGGAAAACAGATAGGTACACCTGATATAGGTACTACATCGCAAATTAACTTTTTATTTCCTTGTAACTCAATGTTTAGTCAATATTTAAATATGCGAGAATGTCTTTTAAAAAAGCCACATCTAGCTGTATATTACTTTCGTTTGCTAAGAATTTATCATACTTCTTTGATTCTTTGGATCCGAGGTTTACCAAGAACTTGATTACTTCTACTTTTATTCCCTAAAAACGTTAGGTTCGGTTACGTCATTTTATCTTTACTCTGCCAACTTATTATTCCATAAAAATAAATCAAATATCTATATTATATTATAATACGAGGAAACTAGCTAGCTTTAAAGAAAAATATTTCTGGCGGTCCAGTTATTTCCACTCCGCGAGCTTAATTTGTCTCGCGGGCCGCCTATTGCCAACCCCTGCAGAGTAAAAATACCACCACATTTTTCTCTTAAAAATTAATCTATTCGAAACCTGAGTTTTGGAACTAGGCAGTAAATACAGTGAAAGACTAATTTTAAAATTCTTGGTTTTTTTGCACTAGATACTTATAATCTCCTACACTTTCTAGAGTGTCCTGTATAGTGATACAAACTTCTGTTTTTAAATAGAACCCCTCTTTTTATCCTTTAAAAATATACAGTAGAAAGTTTGTTTTCGTTAGAAAAACAGAAAAATTCCAAATTAAAAAATTTGAATACAAATAAGCTCATTAAGTATTATATTTCAAAATTTCAAAAATACTATTTTGAATAACTGCATTTTTGAAGAAATCTTTGAAGTGAATCTTTCTGAATACATTAAAATCRGGCTTAGATTATACATTTTTTAGAATCAATAATACCATATGGTATAATATATTGGTATACCTACCTATACTAGTATACGTAAATTATTATGTATACATAGCACATACATATTTTATTTTATTTGGTTGTAACTTATAGTTACGCCTATTAAACATATAAACATTAATGCTTACGGATTAGTATAATGCTTTGCAACCCCCTCCTCTCCCTCCATTTAACTTTGAAACTACTCTWACGACCCYCTGCAGGTCAGTGGTCACTTTCACACAATCAACCGACTTAGAGGACCTATAAATCGGATTTAAACATACGCCATGCATGTAAACTATGTACATAAATCACATCGAAATATATCTTTGGTTTAAGCTGCTTAAATCGTGAACAATATAATGACACAATAAATTTTCCCCGGCTTACATATGTGATAATTACAGTTGTGTAATTAAATACAAATTCAATTTTTGTRAATTTTATTTAAAAAATTTTAATCATCTCATTTAATATTAGGTATATTTATTTATTTACATCTACGAAAAACTAAGTATTTATGAAACGTTTCAATATTAAGATAATTTATCATTTATCGATATCAGTATACATTTAGTATAGTAATTTAATAATAATACTTTTACAAGTACCTATATATGATCTTTGTGATTATGAATTCAACAATGATCAATATTTTTTTAAATTAATGATCATGTATTTAAAAAAATACATCACTATCAAATACAATCGTATTAATATTACATTTTATATATCTAATATAGTAATATATATTATTCTAARCAAACAGTAGTCTTAAAAATATTCATCTATGTGAAAAATTTTTTTTTAACTAAATTCTGATTTTGGGACTGTGCAATATTGTTTTTGCCGTCGAATCAATAATTTTGGCAAAGTATTGTAAATTTAATTTGAAATAAGAACTTTATGTTGTTTTTAAACTTGTTATCATTATTATTTATCAGTTTATCACTAAATACTTTTTTACCTTATTGGTGTATAACATGGCTTACTCTAAAAAAATATAGGAGAACTGTTATTACTGTAAGTTACAGTGTACCTATGTATACCTATATACCTATATATACCTATATACTCATATATTTATTTCTGTGTTATTTGGTATTTCAMTATCGAAAATTTGGAACAACGATGTCAATAGAAATTTAGATACGTCGACTATRGTATTTTTTATAAAATAAGATTATATAATGTAAGCAATACGAATTGTAGTTAGTAGGTACTCATTACAAATTAATTCAAATTATATAATAATTTAAGTACATTACTATAGAATAGTGTTGCAATAGTGAATAAAGTGCGGTTTTGAAAGGTTCCTCTTCTCCAAAAAAAAAAAGAATATCATAGAAACTATATAATATAGGTGTTTAATTGGTAACTATAATTGTCGAGCTGTAATACTTATTGTGAAAGCTAATAAAAAAAAAAAAAAAAAATTGGTAACTATTTATTTAGCAAATTTTTCCAATTTGCACTACTACTATATTGTATATTCGTATGTAATCAGAAATCACATTTCTTTCATAATTTTATATAAGTAATAAATAAACTATAAATTTATGTTATGCTCATTGCTCACACTGTATATAAGGTTTTTTTTATTCACTTAAACATATATTGTTATTTTTATCATTATTCTACTCATATAATTTATTTTCTATTAATAGCTTAAAGATTGTTTTGACAAAAAATTGTTATTAAAATATGTAAAATTACATCTATACATCAAATTATTAARATAATATTTATGCATAAGTAAACAAATACTTTATTTGTAAACTACATACATTGACACAATTRTTTTAATTTAATTAATTCGTTGGATATGTTTTTAATTTGCTTTAATATCTTATATTGATATTAMATTTTATCAGATTTTTATTAAATCTAATATAAATATTGAGTAGATAGCTGTTTTTATATGTCTTAAAGGAAAAAGGAAAAAAAAACTTTAGGTGTTATTCTTTTCTTTTTCTCCAGTAAAAAATGAAATGTTTAGAAATCCTGACTTATGTTATTAACKACTCAGAGTAAAAAATATAAAGGTTTTAAAAGCTATTCTCAAGGGACAAACACCAGATGTCATTTTAATCTCGAAAGAACTGTCATTTTATATCTGACAAATTGTTTATGCTCTATATGAAATAACCTTTTTATCCGCTCTATATAAATGATCCAACAACCAAGCCCGCGATAAGTCAATGTGATGGTATTGAAATATTTCATAACTAACAACAAAAAACCGTTTGAAACATTTCTTAATAGTTCACAAATCAAATAATTTTYATTATATTTGTGGCTTAAAATTTAACTTTTAAAAAACTTTCATTGTAATCACTCCAATGGATTAATAATAAAAAAAAACATCTATAATATAATATATACACTACACAACTCAAATTAAAAACATATTTCACCAACGCACATGAATAAATGTACACAACTTCATACGAAATCCAATAAAATGTTTTATAAAAAAATACAATACATTTCAATCTAATCAACTAAAACTTCTTACAAATTATTTGTCTCTTACAAAATTAATTTCTTAATTACGCATTATCCATCAATTTAAGTTTCTATCATAAAACAGATTATTTTCAAAATTTCGATGTCTTATAAAAATAATTGGATTGAAATTATTCATAGGAAAATGGTACGAAATACCTATAATAACTTAATTGCATGATAATATAATATTATTAAGTTTAAAAGTAATCAATTCAAAAAAAATATCAATAGTAACGGAAATACTAATTTCTCAAAATATTCATATTTTATTTGTAGGGCTTATACATCGTAACTAATGTTCTATTTTTAGCCATAATTATATCTTTAAAATGCTTTATTCTAACGTAAAAACATTAAATCGTTTTWTATAATTTAAAGAATTACCAGCAAATCGCAAAATATTTTTATTAGTGATATTGCATTTTAACAGATGCGAATGATGTGATGTATTAATGCGTCTGATAATTATTTTTACTTTCATTTTATGCGTTTTCTATTTTTGTCTATTTAGCGAACGATGAATGACATGTGTATAATATAAAGATGTTTTATGAGTTACCGTTATAATTATATTACAATATGTAAAGGAGAAAACTTATCATGCGAATAATTTACCTTGTCGTGTTGGTTGCAACGTCKCCGCCAAAAACATACGACGAAGGAGTTCGGTCTGTCGGGAAGGTTTGCAAAGCGRGCRCGGAGGTATATTAACCGTTTCTGGATTTTGTTTCGTAAGATTAATGACATTAACCCGGAGGATGATTAATTGAGTTCTCCCGACGGGGTAAGAAGTCTGCAGTATATACCCGTGTATCTCCCCCCTCACACTCTCTTTCTCACACTATTCCTCTTCTCTATTTATTCTCTTTCCTCTCTGTAGTCTAAAAGACAACACTGCTGCCGTTATGGTTTTCAGCAAACCTATTCGACTGCGTAGTCAGTCTATAGTCCCTCAGGGTTCGTCACTTCGATTTATTTACCTTTACTACTCTCCGTATACATTTCGGCTGTTTGTGTCTACACACACACACTCATTATATACTATTTCTCTAGCCCATATATGTCTCCGGAAAACGTTCACAACTAAACAACCAGTGCTCAGGTTGTTATCACCTCTATAGTTACTCGTTCAGTCTTTGATGCAATGTACCTAAAGCACTACTGTCGTATATTTTGGAGTCATTTCGTTTTCTAGTAGGTATATCTTTTATCGAACAAACCTTTGACCGTCTTCTCTGTCCTGATGTACTTGTGTTTGTGCCAAAACTACCATATTTCGTTAAGACTATTTTTATCTATTATAACTATTAAAAATAAAGCWGCAAACATTCGTATTACACAATATGCACTCAAAATTTACCAACAATAACGTCTGTGCTTATCAAATTTAATACAATTAGTCAATTACCATTGTTTTTAAAAACTTACAATTAAACATTTTAAGTTTCTATTAATTCTATTTATAAATGAAAAGAAGTTAGCGTAGTTTCACTAATAAATACATTTGTGAATAAAACAAATACTACCAATATTAAATATTAAAACAAAATGTATCTTAAAAATATATTTACAAAAAAGTTAATGGCTACTTTTTAAAATAATGATTGTTTACTTTAAAAATAACCATTTCTAAACATTATTATTAACGCTTGCAAAGAGGTATTTGTCATATGATGTTAGAATACAACTTTCACAAGCTTCAAAAATAATTTAAATTGTTTTGAAATAATGGTTTTTCATTATGGCTCAAAATCCATTTTATGAACCATTAGTCTAAGATTATATATTGAAATATAAACTGAGGTTTCACAACACTTCACTTTATAATATTCTATTCAACCCTTTTCGAATCAAGCAAAATGTAATAATGACCTTTTCAGCGTGTATATATAAGCCCCGGAGGAGTGATTATAATTTAATATTACTACATTTATTGGTTTGAAATTTACAAGTAAATCAAGTCGGTTTATGTGAATTCYCGCGTGTTACGTAAATATAATAATAATAACATACCAAATTCACGCTGTTCCGGTGGTATTATAATAATTTGAATAATAAAATACAAAATAAATATTAAGTATTACATGAATTGATTTTCATATTTCATAGCAAAACTTATTTTATTTTATAGCAAGACTGTCCAAACGGCCGTTTAACACCAGCTAAATTTGTGGACATGTACAAAATGTTCTTTCCAAGCGGTAATGCCGAAGAATTCTGCGATCACGTGTTTCGGACATTTGATATGGATAAAAATGGTTACATAGACTTCAAAGTGAGTCACTCAATATTAATGTTTTTTTAGTGTACAATATTATAATATACTATATTAATGTATCAGAATGCAATCGAAAAAAAACCCCATTTCCCGTGTGATTTTATTGAATTTTACCATATGTCGCCCACCCGTTAAAGGTCGTCAAATGAACTTCACCCGGACCCCTTTCGATCGTTCAATGAAATATCAAATTTTTATTATTCATGAGGTCGTTCCCACCCACCAACCTGCAACCCAGCCCTCACGCAACAAACAGGCGCCATTAAAAAGCATTCATTTCTGTGTTGGTTGTAGGAATTTCTATTAGCCATAGATGTCACATCGTCCGGTACACCGGAAGAAAAACTGAAATGGGCATTCAGAATGTATGACGTAGACGGCAACGGAGTCATCGATATTCAAGAGATGACGAAAATCGTCCAGGTACAAACATTAATTGGTTATACGAAAACAAAACGCATCGTGTCTACCTTGTTTAGTTGATCGTTAAAACATCATTTATGCACTTATTCGTGTTTTGTTTTTACTTGACATTATGACGGTTATTTGAAAATGTTTTAATTAAAATTCAGCGATAAACTTGCTATAAAAATTAATCGTATCAAATCATTAAACCCGAAAAAGGAATTTAAAACTTTATTCCTGTTTTCGATGATTAAACGTGGGAGTTAACAGATGTTGAGACTTATTTTAATGTTATATATTTGTAGGCCATCTACGATATGTTGGGTGCATGTTCATCTAACCGTCCAGCTGACTCGGCAGAAGATCGGGCTAAAAATATATTCGCAAAGATGGATGAGAATAACGACGGCCAGCTGACCCAGGACGAATTCCTTAAAGGCTGTTTACAGGACGAAGAGCTATCCAAGATGCTCGCACCATAACCACTGCCCCGGCTGGCGTGAAAGCCCTGCAATATAATATTATATTTCGCCGCATTTTTTTGTATATCTTTTTCTCTCGCCCCGTAGGGTACGCCTTTATCGGTGCCAAAAAAAAAAAATATTTCGAAAACAAGTCAACCCGTTTTTCTAAAAAAAAAATTGAATCAAAAAAAAAAAAATATCAAAAAAAAACGAATTGTTTTCTTATGGTTATATTTTCTCTAATAGGGTAATTTATCTACGGTACATATGATTTTAATGCGCTAGTTGCCAGGTGGTACGCGTTTTATATCTCGTTGGGTGTCCGCCCCATTTCTACTTGGGTCGATTTGCATAGTTTTGCGTAGTATAAACACATCGGCAAACCTCCGAAGCCTATTTCCGAGTAACGATTTTCCGAATCTCAAGCTAGCTTCCACTTCACCTGGTGACTTATTTGTGTAAATAATTATCTGCACATTCCCGTTTATTATTGTTTGTTTCTTTTTTATTATTATTATAATTAGAGACTCAATTGAACTCTGTTAACCTGCGATGTTTTCATTTTAAACAGGTTTCAATCAGTGCAAAGTAAAGCTCAAAAATGAAAAAAAAATTACAAAACTCGATTACGTTCACCGGATTTGAAAACTCCGTAAAAAAAAAACCATTTTCGGGCTCATTTTTATAGTTTTACTTCAATAATAATATTGCAATTAATGTAATTGGCTATAAGAAAACACAAAAAAATATATGTAATAAAAAGGAAAAACCGTTGCTTATGATGGGGTTTCCAAATAACGTTGGGTTCAAAAATCGTGTCATCGAGTGGACCATTCGTGTATTAAAACTGTCGGGAACTTTATGTTCAGAAATCAAAAATCCTGCATAAATATAATAATTATGCGACGAAATCGTATTTTATTATTATTGATTACCTTTGGCTAGTTCATTAAGCCGCTTGTAATTTTAAGATACATTCTCTTGGACCAATATATTTATATTATCTAATCACATTAATTTATTACTTAATTTCTTATCTATTTTTTTCGTCGATGGTGCACATATATTGTTGGATTCCATTAGCAATAAATCGCAACCAAAGTGTCTGTTACCAAATTATGATAATATACGTTTACTTTTTATATTTATAATTATTATTTAATTAAACATATTATTATTATTACTATTATTGTTATCATTTCTATACCTGTTACTTCATTTAAATCATGCATACAATGTTTGATGTGTATGTTATTATAGTGTACGGCCAAATATTAAACCATACATTTTCATGTTATATTCAATTTAATTACTTTTAAAATACGCGATTGTAAGTGTGAAACGCTTTGTTTTTTTTTTTTTTTTTACGAAAAAGGATACTTAATGTTTACGGTAACGCTTGACTTGGTTAAACTTTTCGTGTGTACAAACCCTGATTAATTCAAGCATTAYTATTTTTTATTTTTTCCATCTCAACATATCTTATAAAATATATTATTACTCTTCAGACAACGAAACATATTCAACGAAAAAATTATTTAGACAATTTGAGTACGTGTAATATTTTTGTAGCCATTTCTTATATTTTATTCTATACATATATGTCACAAAAATGTATTTTATTCTTGTTCACCGTGTACGCGCGTACATTATTAATAAGCTAGAAAAGTTTATACAAATTTAAAAAAAAAAAAAACTTAGGGTTAATTATTAATCGAGAATTTTTCTATACACCAATTTGTATAATCCATTATTATTAATATTATTATTATTATTATTATTATTATTATCATTATTATTATTATTCTAATTATAGATGTTATATTATACACATAGTGTAAGAAATCTGTGTCAAGTGTTGTCCTTAATAGTAATTTTAAAATCCAATGAACTATATTTTCTTTACTTATGTATGTATGTAATGTGTATGAATATATAAAATAATATAATATGATACATTATATTCATATTTATGTACGTACCTAAATTTAGATCTAACAATTCATAGTTATAMATTTATATAGTAACAATCATGTCTAGCTACTACATCCTACAGACCAACTTATTTTAATTATTTTATTTTATTTCATACAATACGAACATTTGTTTGCACATGTTGTAATATTCAATGTGACAACTATTTTTATTTTTATTTGTTATACGTAAGTTAAGTTTAAATTTAAATAGTTTAGACAATTAGTTTTTAAGGTTAGGAAATGTTACGTTTCTTTTCTGCTCTGAGCGCTGTGTATGGTTAACAGATGAATCAAAAACTAAAATTTATTTCATTCTGATGTCTCAAAATAATGTGTTTTTCTTTACTYACCTTCGAGAAAACCATCCAATATGATAAACAAATACCTACTCTTTATGATGTTCTTGATAATATGGTCGATAAATATGAACATCATTACTAGTTATTATTTACCTGTGTAATAAACTGAATTATAACTTAACAGATTATGAGAATGAAAGCTTAATGGTTATCAACTAAACATCTTATAATAAGATAAAAAATGGGGAAACAAAACAGCAAGTTAAAGCCAGAGGTCTTGGAAGACCTAAGACAAAATACTGAATTTTCTGGTAAAATCAATTTTGTTATAAATGTTAATTAAAGTAACCACTGAATTTAATCATTTGCAGATGCGGAGATCCAAGAATGGTATAAAGGGTTTTTAAAAGATTGCCCAGGTGGTAATTTAAGTGTTGAAGAATTTAAGAAAATTTATGGGAACTTCTTTCCCTACGGTGATGCATCTAAAGTAAATTAGTTTTAAGAAAGTAAAAGATATCTCATTTAAATGCCAAAAATAGTTTGCAGAGCATGTATTTCGAACATTTGATGCCAACAGTGATGGAACAATAGATTTCAGGGAATTCCTTTGTGCTCTGTCAGTCACATCTCGTGGAAAGTTGGAGCAGAAATTGAAATGGGCTTTCAGTATGTACGACCTAGATGGCAATGGGTACATCTCACGACAAGAGATGTTGGAAATTGTAACGGTAAGTTTTTTCACTTCCAAATAGTAGTCATAAATATTATCAGTAATAAATTGTAATTATTTATTATGTTTTGTATGTACAGGCCATTTATAAGATGGTAGGCACTGTTATGAAGATGCCCGAGGATGAATCGACGCCAGAGAAGAGGACAGATAAGATTTTTAGGCAAATGGACAAGAACAATGATGGCCGTCTATCATTGGAGGAGTTTATTGAAGGTGCCAAAAGTGATCCTTCTATTGTTCGACTGTTGCAGTGTAATCATGCTGTCCAGTAGGGATTTGCTATGCAAATTACACTGAAATTACCTGCCTTTTAACTAAAGTTACATAATGTTTAGACTTCTCTCTTTTTTTTTTTGTCTTTAACTTTCGTTAATTTTAAATTCCTAATGGATTTTATCAACCAAAAAGCTTCAATCAAACATCAATACGTGTGCTCTAATTTGTAATGCTTATGAAGTTTATAAAATCTAATATACATTTTTTCCCCCAGACTTATAAATTTTTAAAATCTGAAAATTGCATACTATTTCAATCAATAATAAATAATAATACATCACACATACATGTGGCGTTAAGAAACACGTGTTGATGATTTAAGATTAAACAAATTTATTGTTTTTACTGTGATATAATATTCTTAACATTTTTTCAATTTTGATCTTCTTTTTCAATACAATGTATTATTATTATCGTTGTATTCATTGGACAAGAATATTTTACTATCCTATTAAATTTTTTTTGTTTTCCTAAAAATAATAATATTTAGTTGTAATTTGTGCTTGTATTATTTAAATCTAGAGATGTGTGATAATTTTAAGACCGAATCCCAAATTTACACTTAAATTTTGGAATTTTATATTTATAATACGTAAAAAACAAAGGAATATAGAAAAATATAAAGTCACACATCTCTTTATTTATTTATAAACATAATTTTGCGCCACAATGGTATTTTGATTTAAAAATGTATAATTATTGTTATCTATTCCCAAAAATAACAAAATTCATAAAACCAACAAACATTTTTGTAGGGTTCCTATATCTAGTCTTTGTTTACTGTTCTAATATTATCATAGTAAATACTGATGAGTTGCCTATAACCTATATAATAATACAATTTTTTTTTTTCAATAACCTTTTTCCTAAAGGTTTGACAATTTTTTTCATTTAATAGGGAGTATATAATATTAACTTATTGTTGTTTAAGATTTAATAGTTTAACTTGTAATATTGTTAAACCCCTCCCTCGCCCCAAAGTAAAAGGATTGTGTTATTGTTTGAGTTGTTATTCATTTCAAAAGTATATTTTTTTAACTTGGCTTATGCCCAACTCTTAGAAATGTACCGTTGTATATATACATGCTCATATCTATTTCCACATCCTCGGTGCTATTCATGTTTGATAGTTAACCTGTACGTAACATTTAAAAATTCTTCCATTATTTTGTTAATTTTAAACCGCAACCAGACACATACGTATGTTATTATGATTTAAATAAATAATTATCTAATTTAAATATATTTTGTATATTTTTTCTAAACTATTGGCTTACGGTTTTGGTCTATTTATACATATTATATAATATATACTAATCTTAATATGGTAGTCTTAAATTGTTACAATGTTGTTCAACTATATAATTCTGTATTGAATAATGTGTTAAATGTGCATGAATACCTTTGTATTTAAACATGTATACAAAAAAAAAAAATGATTATTATCTGTCTCCATTAGTAAAATAAGTAAAAACAAAATAAAATACAGAGAATTATCTGACTTAATATGTACATAACATGCATCTTTTCATTTAATATAATATTACATCAAACATTAAAATTTTACTTATTTGCTCAAGTATCAGTCATATGTCAAAATTTCCTCTTCCTATTTTACTTCTTACTCTTCTATTTACATCTACTTGTTTTCTTGCCAACATTTTGCATCACATTTTCACACATAAATTTGATTAAATATAATGTCAAAATAAATATCAAATATAATGAAAATGCCCAAGACAATACTAGTCATTACCTAGAAAATATTTCTAAATACATCATTGCTTGAGAATCTTTAATTTACATCTTTGCCAGTACTATATATAATTTTTGGAAAATTCTATGAACAGTATATTAAAATATCTTTAGACATCTTTCTAGATGTTCTTCTCTAGAAATTCTGTCAATAGAGATAAACTCTGCATAAATTAGTTATTTTAGTACATATCTTACAAACAATATATGTTGTAAGATTATGCCAATAATATATTATTTTTCTTATATTGTCCACCAAATTATATACTATATCATATTAAATTATATTATATTTATATCATGTTATATTATATTATCAACTGTGTAAGAAAAACATATCTACAATAAAAAAAATTTTAACTATATATTTCATATATATACATTATACATATTGTTTTGTTACAAATAAATCAAACTGTATGGGTGTAAAAGTTTTATATTTTCATTGAATTTTGCAAACAAGTGTCCCAAACAAATCAAAAATTAAAATAAATATTTTTCAGTTATAATTTGATGTAAATTTTAATTATGTATCTGTATACACAGGATCTAAAACAAAAATAAAATTTAAAACTCTTGTAAGTAATAATCTTCAAACCTAAATACTTATTCAATTAGTATTAAATAATAATGGTAGGTAGGTCTGAAAACAGATAATGTTAAAATCAATTTTAAATCTAGTAGATAGGTACTCTCTTTATTGTAGTACTAAGAGTTTAACATTTCGAAAATAGTTTTAAATAAAGGCAGGGGTGGATTTTCGATATTTTGATAGATGGGAGGCACATATAAATTATATGATTTTAATTTCAATTAATAGCTAATGATTATAACTATAATGATAAATAGGTATCGATAAGAAACTAAAGCTGTAAATCCTGTTTTATCAGTTTGAATGCAAATACTGATTATGATAATTAATAATTGATATATTATTCTTATTAACTGCATTTTTCATTCAGTATCATGATTCATGATACTCGTAGTTACTTAAAAAAATTATCGATAGAAAATTGACAGGGAGCGCGTGCCACTGTCCGACGACCATGAACCAAACCGTGGCCGCTTGAGCTTCGGGACCAGGTAAGTCAGGGACCGTATATTGACATTAAGTGACAGATTATTATTACCAGCACGGTCATTGAAAATTTAACCTTTGTTATGGACCATGAGGTCTTAAGAAGGTGACTAAATTAGGTTGGTTATCCAAAGCTATT